ACTAATTAAAAAAAAAACTTTCACTAGTAAAAAATCAGTAATTAAGCGATTTTATACCGCGCTATGATAGAAACCGAGTAGAATCTTCACAAAAAGAGTAATGAATTTGGAAAGTACACAAAAGAAATGTAGCAATTAGCACTGTTTATGTACTTTTTGTGTTATAATTATGACTGTAGTAATATTACGACTGCTTTCCCTTCATATTAGATCTATTAGATATTAAATATTATTGTGGCTTGGAGTATAATACGTACACCCTCGCCTCACGTTCCGCGATAATAAAATACGTTAGCATTGTTACGTGAGAGATATAGGGTTGTCACTTCTACAAGTTTTAAACTAGGTTTCAGAAGTTTTCATTTATTTTGTCATTGTCTAGCGATTCATTAGTGTCAGGTTGACCTAAGTTTCTATGGAGTACAAATTACATAATCCGGAATCGCAATTTATGAATTTATCGAACGGATAACATTAACGAATGGTTAAACGTAGCTAAGACCATAGAAGAAACAGGATATTAGTCGAATTATTTGTCGTCGTAGTAGACGAATTAAATTGCAGTTTTCTTTTTCTTTTTTTTTTAATGTTGACAGCCCTATAAGGATGTATTGTGTGACGTTGACGTTGACTTCCAATCAATGGTCCGCCTCCGCTACTGTGAAATAACACTTTCGTTTTCTTTGCTATTGTTAGCACGTATGTAATTCTTGGTGAAAATCAATGAAGACAGTTCATTTACTTTTGTATTACATTTACATATTAGCTGTTGCTTACGGGACTTCCCCGTGAAATTAAAAAACATAGTCTAAGAGACTGATAACGTAGCTTTTCAATGGTGAAAGAATTTTTTAAATTGTTCCCGTAGGTTTTGAGTTATTTCAATACATACGAAAATACAAATGTTTCTTTTTTATAATATTAGTATAGATCATTATATAATTGCGTAATATTATATATTATAAAGAGGATAGATGCACGAGTATGTTTGTAACGAACAAACTAAAACTCTAATAGATTGGTTTTATAAATTCTTTTACCGTTAGGCTACATAAACCTTTATTGACATAGGTTTTATTTATTTAAAAAAATAAATGTCTGCTAGTTAAAAAACATAAAATCTTAAGAACAAGAAAAATATGTCTGTGCTTAAGCGTAAGTTATTTAAATTTTAATGAAAAAGTACAAAAAAAGGAAAGATTTTAAGCTCGGTAACCCTTTGTGCCTGTTTCGGATTTCTTTGTGTAAGTCTCGAATCAAAGGGCTGTCCGGTGCACAAAGCGAGAGGCAAAGGTCCCTATCTGATGTCACCCGAAGATATATTAAACGAATAAAAAATGGTGAGCTCTTATAGTGTTTGGGCGACGTTTTACTTAAATTTCATACAGATATAACTATGATTTTGTAAAAGGTTGCAGATTTATACGGTAATTTTCTGTTTGTAAAAGTATTAGTAGTTTTTTTTTAATTTACTAATATTTCTTTAACCATTCTAATTAAGCTCTAGGCTTGTGCTATAGTTTACGAAAATAGTCGAATGCCGGGATTTGAACCCTCGACCACGTGATCTGAAATCCGTACCCCTAACTGTTTTAATGTTATTTGAAGTGTACTCGTGGCCTTGTCAATTAACACGATACATATTGAAATGTCGTTTCAGTATACGGCCGTACCTCACAATACCTTACAATACCAGCATTCTATCATTATTGTCACTTAACTAAGACGTTTCCATCGTAATGAAGAAATACTCTCCTCACGTTACTGCAGTACAAATATATTACGAGTATTATCAAAGCAAAACTAAACTAGTTTGGAACTTAGTCTTCCTTCGTCACGTTTGTGTGAATAAACAATGTTAAGCAGATGCAGTGTTTGTGCAGTGTGAATAAAGCTTAAAATCGTGTAAACAGATACATTAATGTGTATACAGCTTAATTGTGTCTTAGAAGAGTAAATAAGTATGCTTTATACGTATGCTTGAGTAAGATTAACTCGCGCTATTCATTTACTGTTTCCGCTTCTACTGCAGCGCTGCAAGGCTGTGGTTTATTTGATTTATTTTTACTTGTAAAAAGGTTTTATATAAATTTAACTCTACAGTCTACTATATACAGATGTCTGGTTCCCAGGTTTGAAGCTATTGGCGTTTGGTGATCACAGTCGATTACCTCAAGAACTATAAAGTCGCATTTTCATTGGTGGTTATTCAGCAAGGAGTGCGAGAGATTTCTTGTTCAAGCATGCCATAGAGTCAATGCAGTTTTTGAATACTTTCTTACTGAGCAATATTTTCGTTAACTGTTTCTCCGCAAGAGGCTTACTAAGCAAGCCAAAAATAATTCCATCGCTCGTAAACATCGACTATTTTTATCAGTCGTTTGGTTAGGTTTTGTTGCTAAGTATACTAGTATGATACAGACTTCATTATTTTCTTCAAGTTTACTATATAAATACATACTGTATGGCAACTTTCTACTGTCATGGAGAGGGAGAGATGCCAGCAAGGTAGTCTGATCAGAGCAACCAACGAGAGCGGACGTCACCAGCATTTACACATGTAAATAGAAAAATGTGAATGATTGTTCAGGAAATATTAAGATCTACATATAGGTTAAATTAAAACATTTAAGTTTTACAACAGGGTACCAAGTCCAAGTACAAGTTTTGCTCGGAATTCGAAATTCTTCGTGTCGACTGCAGGTTTCCCGTAATACTTGTTTAAAATTTAAGTCCTTTAGCTGGTTTGTCGGTTTTAATATTTGTAAATAAATTTGATACTCAAAATTTAATTCTACTTATTTATTATTATTGTTATTTCATAACCATACTAATATTATACATGTGAAAGTTTAGATGGATGGATGGATGTTTGTTAGAGTTTGCAGTGTAAACGGCTGAACGAATTTCTTTGAAATTTGGCATTAGATGTAGAGGATAGTCTAGAAGAACACATAGGCTATTCACTTTAGTTTTTTTTAATTCGATGCGGACGGAGTCGAAGGCAAAACCTAGTTAGTGATTATTCTATTAGTATATTCGGATTATCTCACGTAAAAAACGCGCTAGCCGTGGAGTTGCGGAAACCGTAGCCTCTACCATTACTACATACACGGATTAGTATAATTTACACGACATTTTAATTTGAACTGTCGTAGACGATGTATAAAGCCACTATTGCTATCCCTTTTAATTCCAACATAGAAGAGAGATGACTATATTGTAGTTACACAAGTTTTTCGGTAGTGGAGACATGCTGTAAGATTAGAAAACATTGAACATTTTGTGGAATGATCTTTAAATTTTAATGGCTCAGGTTTGAGGCTTGCGCCTGGAATCTGGAAACACGCCAAGAAATAGTTTTCGTTCAAAAACATAAATTTATATACATGAGAATTTCAATTTCACATTTTGAGAAGAATAGAAAATGTTGATAGAAAATTTATTGCTTAGTAAAAAATCTTATTACGATAAGAATTCTTCTTACGTCATTTTTTAAACATAAATAAACCATCGCTTGACCATGATTCCAACTAAGCTAAGTGAAGACGCGGTCGAAGGATCGCGCTGGCTCAATAACTGCCGATTATTGCCGATATTAAGACGTCATTGATAAACTACCTCAGTCCTTTACTAACTGTAAAAAACAAAAACATTGTTTGCAATACATTCTATTTTAAACTTACATCAAACCCTTTTATACTATGAGTAGCGCAAGGTATGGATTTTCTGGCAAAACAGTAATATGGAGGCCTAATTTAAGTTCCTTTCTCTTTACCGCCCTTTTCTTATAAGGAGAGGATGGGAAGGGGAAGTGGATTTGCCGGTGGAGGAGATGCATAGGAAATGGAAATATCAACTTTATGTGTGTATCCTCCTCCGTCGGATAAGGGTAAGCAACGCATCTGCAATTGCGGATGTCTATGGGCAGCGGTCGCTTCGTTATTTTGGCGGATTTAGGTCGCCGCTTGCTCGTTTGCTACCTTATGTTATAAAAAAAATGCATAAGCTCACAAAATGCAATCTTAGGCGATAAATACTGCAGTATTGATACTTTATAGTGAAACATATAACCATTTTGACGTCCATAACA